GTAGAATGGAAAAGCTATAAAAACAACCAATTAGAGCAAAGTGGATAACAATGAAGTGCTACAACAACATCTATGTGCTAGGAATATCTCCCACAATAATGTTGAGGTCTTTTCAGTGAAAGATGTGCTCTGAATTTAACCTACTTGAAAATTTTAAAGTAAGGAGAGTAATTAGCCTTTAGCTAATACTCACCCCTCTGTCTCGCTAGTGCTGTAATAACTCATTACTTTCTTCATTAGTAACACTAAAATTAAGAGAATTCTTTTAAAACATGGATGATCGCATTTTAGCAAACATCTGTTTATTTTGGCAAGAAAATAACTTACCTGATTTTAAAGATGCAGAAAATGCATAATGCTACACATCTGAAAACTTATTTAGTTTTCTGGATGTGAAATCAGGTATGCTCAAATTTGCAAATTCTGGATTACCGTACTGGTCCAGTTAAAAACAGCCATACACATTACATTAGACACCTTATCAGCGGTAGTAAAGAAAATCTCCTCTTGCAGCCTGATAAATTATTTGTAATATTATAATCTGTTTCTAGGAAGCAATACAAATATTACATACTGTTGTCTGTAGGTATGCACAAGTTAGTCATTCGGGTCACTGAGAACGTAAGTGGAGGGTGGTAGGCAGTATTGGCACAGCTCATTCGTGCTACTGGAGTCCCTAAAAACTAGCTAGCTGAGGTTCACACTGACTGGCTCAAAACCTGGTGCGTGAAACATGATACAGCTAAAGAAGAGCTTTTAGAAAAGTGTCACAACAGGTTTCGTACAGAAAGCAACGGGTGGTTTCTATGCATGCATGCGTGTGTACTTTTCTGTAAGCTTCATCTTTTTTTTTTTTGGGGGGGAACTGTTTCAAAGTGACAAAGCTGACAAGCTGTCTGCAAAGGAAGGAAAACATTCCCTGAGCTTTCTGGTTAATACTCATCCATACTATGAGTATATCTCTATGCAAGCATTACAGAGATTCTGGTGGGAAATCAAAAGAAGATTTTTTAAAGGCAGAACATTGGAATCATGCAACTCTCTTCCAATAATAACAGCATGGAAGAAAATCTCACTTAAGTAGACTAAGATGCAGCTTGTTTTATATATCCAGGGTACCAGACGACATAATTGACTGAAATAGGGGTTGACTGGAATCAGTGACACAAGCGGTCTTTATGACTGCCGGCTTATGCACCTATACTCCTATGAGTAGAGGTTAAACAACTCTGAATTTTACCAGCCCCAAAAGTAATGCTAAATTACCTGAAAAAGTGAAACCCGCATCTCAGGCAGGAGAGCTGTCGCTGTGACTGAGGCTGAGAAGGAGGATGTCTGGATTCCAGTGCTCTCTGACCTTTGCAGTTCAGCATATTTTTCCCAGCTTACGTACCATGTGTGCTAAAAAAGTGTGAAGAGAGGACTAATACTTTATAGCCTATGGGCCTGTGAGGACAAATCCATCAGAGCTCCTCTGGCACCTTGATACTTACACTGATGAGAGCTCTTAACAGCGTACCTATGGAGAAAATAATCCATTATCTACCCAGGCAGCCGACAAAGGCTAACGTCCACTTTTCAAAAAGAGTTCAGGCTCAAGTGCCCGTCTCAAGACCCAACTGCTTTTTTTATTTTGCTGATGTCCATTAATCTTCTAAACTGGAGTCTGCAGACCTGACTAATAATTTTTGCCGTGTAAGAGCACAGTAGAGCTCTGAACTGAAAGATTATACAATTCCTTACTGCAGAAGTTAATTTACGTTGATGAGCTGTCTCGGCTTAGACGCTCCAAGCTGCAAAATGAATGCTCCAGCTTCTGTCACTCACACTGCCCCTTTTCCAAAGGCCTTGTCAAATTCAGGGCAAAAAGATCTATTCAGAAAAATCCTTAGTGGCCATTCCTTCAGCATAATTTAAATACCACGCTAGAGGTTTGAGCTACATTTCCAGCTAGTTTCTAGCTAGTGAGCAGAGTTTCCAGTTCCAGTATGAAAAGGAGGCAATCTGCACCCGTCCTGACCTGGGGCCGCCTTGCCTAGGAAACGCTAAACGCGGCGGCTACCTGCGCCAGGTCTCTTCCCGCCTCTTGCTTTTCATGACATAATTGCGCAAACTTTCTGCTTCTGTGCCAGGGATGGAAGGGTTGCTCTGCCGTCTCCTGTTACCGCCGGCTGAGCCGGAGATGCCGCCGCAGCCTGCAGGCTGCCTGCTGTGGCTCAGCTCCTCTCCTGCCCTCTCCCTGGTCTCCGCGCGGATAAAGCTAGAAGTCGTGGCTTGAGCCGGTCTAGTGCAGCCACAGGGCAGCAGGGAGGAAAGGGAAGGAGAAGATGGAGGTGAGTGGCAGCTCATACACCATGGGACCACGACGTGGCTTCAGACTCAAGGTGTGTCTTTACACCAAAAGGGCAAGAGCTGAGAGCTGCCCAGCAGTGCGGTACACTGCAAAGGCCTGGTAGGATGTGGAAGTTCCCTCAGCTTCTTCCACGTGTGTTGTGTTTCGACATGGTGGAGTGCCGGGGGTGTCAGCGTGTGTGGGTGCGACGTGTGGGTGTGGGGTGGTGGTGGTGGGTGGCTGCCTGGGGTTGTTCAGCAAAAGAGACATAAAGAAGTGCAAAATGACATGGCAACGTCCCAAACAGGGAGTATTTTCAAACGTCTTATCCACAAAAGTGAGAAAATACTTTCTCCAGAAAATGATAAATAGGGCTGTTTTATGAAGTGCTATTGTGTAAAAATCAGAGATTAAAACCAGTCATTAAAATAAATAAAGAGATGTTAATCTGCTTTGCATTCAAACCCCAATTCAGATGCAAGTCCAGCCTCACCACAGGCAGAACACACCAGTGCAAGGATACTGGAATTGCTGTGTACTTCAAAAAGCACCATTTCTAAAATTGCTCAGTAAAGAAGCCACCTAAAATTCCTCTTTTTTAATGCACAGAAAATATTGGTAGGCCAGTCTATGCCTGAATAGTTATTTGTCTTCATTGACAGGACGAACAATGTGTAGAACCCAGCCTTTAATGTTATACTGAAAGCAGTTTGTTTAAAACCTGTTTTCCCCAGTCTCTCAAGCAGCAGAGAACAGAGCCTTGCTGTGCCGCACTTGCAGCCAAGCCGTATATGCAGCATCTGTTCAGCTGAGCCGCTGGTGACACCCCCTGTCAGCATCTGGTAATTTTCCTAGCGCAGACAAGATTTATATGAAAGCTTTAACTCTGAAAGTCCTGAAGATCCACAGATAAATACAAGCCAGAATAATTTTTTTTAACCACAGTCAGAGGTGCACCGTTTTAGCAAGTTGGTTTCAGGTGACGGCAGTATCATCTTTATATATTAGCACACCAGCTCAAGAGAAGATGCTTAATTTATCTGAAAGCCAGTTGCTGTTCAACTGATAAACTGTTCCTATTCAGTATCCAGTGTTCAATCCTCCAAATCACAGGTACTGCTGCCTGAGAAGCCCTTTAAATAACTCATCATGTTCCATGCAGAGTATTCTACATCTTGATTTTCCAGCGCTTACCAAAATGCATCGTATCAAGACCTGGAAATAGTTCAGATTTGACTGTTAAATTTTTCATTGTTCTCAAGTCTAGGCAGAGCGGGGGAGAGGCAGTTCAGGCTCATCAGAGGAGGAAATCCTGCAGAAGGTTTGCAATAAGCGGCAGCAAATTTTATTCTGTCATTCGATATCCTAATAAAGTATATTCTTTTCTCCTACAAACCTTGCACCTCTTACTGCTTAGAGCACCAAAGCTACAACAATGTTACTACTGGAAACCAACAAGTGATTTATAGCCAAATCTCATTTTACTGGAACCTCTAAGCTTTTGAGAGCTTGTTATTCCAGATTTAACCTGGTCTTAAATGAGAGAAGAGTGAAATCCAGGGCTTAGAGAAAGTATTAAACTTGCTTACAGCTTTGTTAACACGTACTAATGAAAGAGAATTAGCATACAACCCCAACCTAATTTACCCTAATACAGGAACTGTTTTCCCAGGCAGGATATTGAGTGCTTGTGACTGCTTTCTGCTGTGATATTCTTACACGGCATCACGTGGTGCCTTCATCCCTCACTGAAAGGTTTGGAGAACGCTTCATTGTCATCAGCAGTCCACTCTGCTCACATACGCTTCCACCTACTGCCCCACTTGCCTTTACGGAGTAAATGACTCTTAGCTTCTCAGTGGGACTAGCCCAGCTAATGGTGCTTGAAGGTACACAGAAAGTACTCTGTTTTTACAAGAGACTCCTAAAACCCCATGCTCTTTCTTCGGGCTCTTGCTCATTCCCAGAATCACGTAGCAGCCACGGCTCCAAGAAAACTGGCTGTCAGCAAGTTGTTCAATCAGCAGTGCGCATGCATACCAATTTCATGTATTGATTTCAGTTAAAGTACATCACTGAAGCTGTGATCCGGCAAACATTTTGCAAGTGTGATTCTGTGCTTAAAATCTCCCCTATCTCACGAGATAATCCGCACATAAGTGTTTGCACCATTGGTATTTAATTTGCAGGACTGAGGCTAAAGGCCAAGAGTACGATAGTTTATTTTGAAAATATATAATTAACACACAAACATGTTTGGACTTAAGCAAGATTCCTCCAGCAGTCCCGAGAGCGGAACCATTCCTAGGTCTTTGGCCAGCCTTAAGCCTGACAGCAAAGTTTAGTTTTTAGCTCCTAATTAGCACTATTAGGAAGTGATTGCAGACCCAGGGGCAGAGACTACCTCCATGCTTGCTAAGTGATGGCAGTGTCCTTTAACAAAGAAGAGAGGGACTGCCTTTTTGCAAGTAAATTTTCTTGGTTGTAAGTAGAACTAAAACCCATATTATAGACTTCATCTACACATAAAACAACAAGAATAACGTTCTCGAAACAGTATGTTGCAGCACTTTTTCTGTACCAAATACATCTGAATTTACAAGCCAGAGCGCTGCCAAGCTTCTTCTTCTGAAGTAAGCTTCAGAGAGAGTAATGATTAATACGGCAGTTTGCACAGGGTATACAACATCCTGAGCCAACTAAAGTACATTTTGCCACGATATATTTACTTATTCTGGTTTCCTAACCTGCAAGCAGCCGATCAGCTGAGCGCCCTTTGATAATGCCTTCCTTTCAAAAACCCTGCGGAGCAGCGCAGGGCAGCAGGTGGAAAACACCAAACCACCGACCACCATTAACTGCCCCAGGAGCTGGGCAAGACCGGCCAGCCGGCGCTCTCTCACTCAGACTGCCAAAAAAAGAACCGGTCACGCAAAAGGCTTCAGGACCGCAGACCGCAAAGCAGGGTTAACTCCGGTGAGTCCCCCAGTTTAAATGCCAGTGGAATCAACTTTTAACTGTGTGCAAAGCATTTCTTTGTGCAACATGCAAGTGCACCGATGTATGATGCCCAAATAGCTTTGGGAGATGAACTGCACAGATTATCTGCAACTGCAAAAACCACATGCTCTTTTAACAGAGGGGCAAGGCACACTGGAACTAACACACAAAAGATTAAATATTAGTCTCAGTCGAACGGGTTTGCAATTAATTGGAACAACTAATAAAATCATAATTGTAAGATATAGTTAATTACTACCATACATACCTAAATGTTTATGTCTTCCAGCAGCCATTAACTAAGAAATCTGTTGCTCTGGGTAAGATTTGATCTAACTGTGTGAAAATCCATCGCACAAAATACTGCACAGCTACAATATGAACCTTGTTCCAGAAAACCTGTTTGGTTTTTGAAAAAGCCTGTTGTTGCCTGGATTCAGGGCTGAATTCTGCACGGTGCTGAGTTCCTTACACGTCCTTCAATGCCAATGGGAGTGAAAGGGACTCCGCACGATCCAGACGCATTCAGTACCTTGCAGGATTGCCTCTTAAGTTAATATATAACAAATGGCTGCACAGCAGTGTGTGAAATCAGCAAGTTAAACATACACTTAAAATAACTGTAGCATCAGGCAGGCATATTGAGCATTTCATTAAAATCGCTTTGTGCTCAATAGGCTCATATGCAGTGTTCTTACGTATTTACCGCAGGAAAGCAAAAGTTTGGGAAGTATTCTGGTGAATGTAAAATGAAGCAATCAATAACTGGAAGTTGCAACCAGAAACGTCCAGTTAAATATTGTGCAGCCTGTGGGTTGGTTATTATTGGCTGGAGTGTGCTCAGAGAAAGCTGCACCTGACAGCATGGACTAAGTGGAAGAGCAAAAATGGCATGTGCTAAATACTCACCCACAAAGATTAAAATAATAATAATCCTTAAAAAAACTTCTAGCTGCAGTATTTGCAACTGTCAGCAACAGAATGAAATGCTAAAATCATACCTAGGGATCCCCATTTATCTCAAAAGTTGTGTTTGGCAGCACACAAAAACGTTGACTGCCTCTGCTTTGTGCTTTTCAGTGTCAGTGGGAACTGTACACCTCCCTCCTACGTATATAGGAGACAAAGTAAAATATAACAGAAGACCTGATAGCACATGGTTTAGTCTTCCCTTTCTCCCAGAAGAAACAGCAACTTCCAACTTCACTGCTGTTTTTTTTTTTCTGAATTAGGGTAGTGGAAAGTGAAGAATAACTGTGCAATCCTAAATGCCAGGGAAAACTAATTCGAAGAGAAATGGATTTTTGTACTACATTTCTTTGAGTTTTTCTGTGAATAATCACAAAGAGAATTTTTAATGGCCATATTACATTCATTTCTTAAAAGTAGAAATGCCAACAGATTTACTTAGTAGTAGATTTACATATCCCAAGATCATTTTCAAAACCTAATTGACAAAAATTAATAATTTACAATGAATTATGAGACTTCATATATCTCTCAGACACAGTAATTTGGAATTCGCGTATTACTGAATCCCAAATTGTTAGCTATGTTCATTTTAGCTGAAAGCTCTGCTGGAATCTCAATACCAAGGAAGTTAACTATATGAGAGTCTAAGGGTACAACTACAACTCCACAATGTTTGACTTACTCTCAGAGCCTCCAGTGGAAAAGAGAAAGCAAGCTCTTCATTGCAGTAATCTCCTCATGCAAGGTTGGGCTTTTACAATTCTAAGCCTTCTGAGACAGCTAAAATGTCCACTAAAGTTAATGGGACATTTTCTCTGCTTTTATCACGCTTTAGGTAAGGATTATCATAAAGGCTAAGTCCTAATAATTTCCTCAGGCTTAAACCACTCACCAAAGTGCTCACCGTGGTGTTGCCATATGAACGTTGACCTAGATCATGATGCTGGAAGGAAGTAACTAAAATAACATGTTCTGCTTTGTGGTTTGAAATTTTATGAGAAACTGGAATGTAGAGAATACTACAGCGCACAAGTGGATCTCTAGGCAGTTCACAAGGACAGAGTGAGGAATCAGAACTTGGAACACAGAGGAAGAATAAAAAGAGCAAATGACAGAGACACAAACGTGATAAACATCTGGTATTTCTGCCTATGAAACCTTGCTGGTGCTTCGGATATCAAATGCTGTTATAGAAGACAGACCAAAGTTTAGAGAGCCATATAACACTTAAATTTCTGGCACGACTAGCAGCAGAGCCCTGTCTAGTTTTGGCAGCTCAGTAACTGAAATATCTTGATGAGGTTCCTGCTTAGAGAACAATAGATCATTGTATTTTGTACTTCAACTGTACCTGTAATCTCAGAATCTGAAAGAACTTTACAAACTTGAATAAGTTAAACTTTACATGTGCATGTGACGCCTTATGTTCTGCCTATTATAACATTTTTTTCAAATATTTCCTTTGATTTTGAGCGTTTCCAATTTTGATCTGATGATTTGAGATGCTGACATCCAAAATGTGAAGCACTCAAAAAACAAAAATAGTGTTCAGTTTTTAGTAAAAAATATTCTGGAGAATATTCTCCAGAAAAAGAATGGTTAATAGAGAAAACTTAAAAAAAAAATCTATTAAATGCAAACTGACTTTATTGGTTTAATGTAGTTCTTTCTCTAACGCATGTCAAGAGTTGTTCAAGGCAGAAGCTACTGAAGTAGCTAAAGGAATCTACAGAAGACCAATTAATCACACAGTTAGAATAACCTGTCTCAAAATTTTCAAGAAATCAGAAATTTCCAGGCCCGATGACCTGATTTTAAGAAGTGCAATACTGCACTGTACTATTTCCATTCTGTTCTGTTCTATACAGGTTTGTCCTATAAAATGTGAAAGTATCTTTTTCCAAAATCAGTGGGAATCAGGGGCTCATGCTACCTGCACAAGTCAAAGTAGAACTAGGACAAATGCATCTCAATGGAAAATGACTTTGTTGTCCCAGAACTGCATACATGATTTTTACTGTCTGAAATTGTGGCCAAGAGATTTTAAATAAAGACTACCAGAAATATAAACATCAGGCTTACTGAGATCTAAGCGAAGAAACCTAGCAAATATCGGGTTAGGTGGAGTCTAGCAGGGTTATATGATTTAGATGTGAACACCTGTTATTCACAGAATCATACAATAGTTGAGACTGGAAGGCACCTTTGGAAATCATCTAGTCCCACCACACTGCTCAAGCAGGGTCACTTAGGGCAGGTTGCCCAGGACCATGTCCAGCCAGGTTTTGAATGTCTCCAAGGATGGAGACTCCACAGCCTCCCTGGGCAACATCTTCCAGTTTTTGACCACTCTCATTGTTAACAAGTTTATTATTTATGTTTTCCTGAAATTTCCTGTATTTCAATTCGTGTCCATTGCCTCTTGTCCTGTCACTGGGCACCACTGAGAAAAGTCTGGCTCCATCTTTTTCACTTCCTCCCATCAGGTATTTATACACATTGATAAGATCCCCCCCGAGCCTTCTCTTCTCCAGGCTGAACAGGCCCAGCTCCCTCAGCCTTTCCTCATATGACAGATGCTCCAGTCCCTTAATCATCTTTGTGGCCCTTCTCTGGACACAGTCCAGTACGTCCATGTCTCTCTTGCCCTGGGGAGCCCAGGACTGGATATAGCACTCCAGATGCGGCCTCATTAGTGCTGATTAGACAGGAAGGATCACCTCTCTCAACCTGCTAGCAACAGTTTTCTTAATGCAGCCTGGGATGCTGCTGTTCTTTGCTGCCAGGGCAGATTGCGGGCTTATGTTCAATGGGCTGTCCAGCAGGACCCTCAGGTCCTTCTCTGCAAAGCTGCTTTCCAATCAGTCAGTCCCCAGCCCATACGGCTGCATGGAATTATTCCTCCCTAGGTGCAGGGCTTGACGTTGCCCTTTGTTGAACTTCATGTGGTTCCTGTTGGCCCATTCCTCCATGGGTCCCTCTGAATGGCACCACAGCGTTCTGGTGTGTTAGCTGCTCCTCCTAGTTTTGTATCATCTGCAAACTTGCTGAGGGTGCACTCTGTCATATCACTCAGGTCATTAATGAAGGTGTTAAACAGTACTCACCCCACTATCAGCCACTGGGGTGCACCACTGATGCCTGGTCTCCAGCTGGATTTCATGCAGCTGATCACAACCCTGTGAGCCTAGCAGTTCAGCCAGTTTTCAACCCATCTCCCTGTCCACTTATCTAGTCCATACTTTGTCAGTTTGTCTATGAGCACATTACGGGAGACAGTGTCAAAAGCCCTGCCAAAGATAAACAATACGCGTTGCTAAAGATAAACAATATCCGTTGCTAGAGACAAACAATATCCAATGCTCTCTGCTCATGCACTGAACTAGCCAGTTCATCACAGAAGGCTATCAGATTGGTCAGGCATGATTTCCCCTTCATAAATCCATGATGACTACTTCTTGTTCTTAATATGTTTGAAAATGGCTTCCACGAAGATTTGATCCATCAGTTTCCTGAGGGCTGAGGTAAGGCTGACTAGCCTCTTGTTTACCGGATCCTCTTTCTAATCCTTATTGAAGACTGGAGTGATATTTGCTCTCTTCCCGTCCTTAGGAACCTCCCGCAAATCACCACAACCTTTCAGAGATCTTTGAGAGTGGCCTCGCAATAACATTAGCCAGCTCCCTCAGCACTCATGGGTGCATCCCGTCACGCCCCATGGACATGTGTATATCCAGTTTAACTGATCACTGACCTGATCTTCTTCCACTGAAGGTAAGTCTTCCTTGCTCCAAGATCTTCTCACTGGTCTCAGGGACCTGGGATTCCTGAAGGCAAGTCTTACCAGTAAAAACCAAGATGAAGAAAGCATTGAGCACCTCAGCCTTTTCCATGTCCTGTGTCACCAGATCACCAGCAGTGGGGCCATGTTTTCTCTAGTCTCCCTTTTGCTGCTGATATACCTGTAGAAGCCCGTCTTGTTGCCTTTCATTTCCTTCACAAGATTCAACTCCAGATAGACTTTAGCTTTTCTAACTCCATCTCTGCACACTTAGACAGTGTCTCTATATTCCTCCTAGGTCACCTGTCCCTGCTTCCACTTCTTGTAATGCTTCTTTTTAGGTTTGAGTTTAGTCAGGAGCAACTTGTTTGTCCATGCAGTCCTCATGATGCTTTTGCTCAATTTTCTGCCAGTGGGGGGGTGGACCATTCTTGAGCTTGCAAGAGGTGATCCTTGAGAGTCAACCAGCTCTCCTGGACCATTCTTCTCTCCTGGACCATATCCCATGGGATTCTTCCAAGCAGATCCCTGAATAGGCCAGTCTGCTCTTCTGAAGTCCAGGGTTATGGACCTGCTTTTTTGCCCTCCTCCCTCCTCTCTGGAAGAACTCCTGAACTTCTCCTGAACATCACCATCTCACTGCCACTGTGGTCAAGGCTGCCACAGCCTTCACATCCCCAGCTAGTTTTTCCTTTTTTGTGAGTATGAGGTCCAGCAGAGCTTCTCAATCACCTTGCTGGCTCCTAAATCACCTGTGTCAGGAATTTATCATCAATGCACTTCAGAAACTAGCTGGTTTGCTTGTGCCCTGCTGTGTGGTCCCTCCAGCAGATACTGGGATGGTTGAAGTTCCCCTTGAGGACCAGGGTCTGCAAATGTGAGGCTTCTTCCAGTTGTCTGAAGAAGGCCTCATCTACTTCTTTCTGATCATGTGGTCTGTAGCAGACACGCACCACAATGTTGCTCAGGTTGGTTGGTCTGCCCACTGATCCCGACCCATAAGCCCTCAGTTGACTCATCACCAAGGCAGAGCTCTGTACATGGGGGAGTTGGTGGGAGCTGCTCTCTGTCATAAAGGGTAACCTCCCCTCCTCGCCATCCAGCCTGTCCTTCCCAAAAAGCCTACACCCATCCATGGCAGCATTCCAGTTGTGTGAGCTATCTCACCACATCTCCATGATCCCAATTAAATTGTAGTCTTGAAACTGCACATAAACCTCTAAGTCCTTCTGTTTGTCACGCATGGTGCATGTGCTGTGAATCACTACTTAGGATACACAGAAAACACAGATAGAAGCAGATAAAAGCAAGAGACATAAGAACTGTGACATTTCAGCTTGAAATCTTCAGCAAGAGTAGGAAAATGCTCTGATCAGTTCCCACAGATTTCAATTATGTGGTGGTTCAGCATCTGGTAAAGTTCGTGGTGGCTGTAGAATTTCCACCCTTCATTGCTACTAGCTGGAAATCTATTAAAGTTTTCCAAGGACCATTCTTTCTCCTGAAACTACTACTACTTTTACAGCTATTGCCAGCAGTTTGAATCAAAGCAAAGAAAGTTTAAAAAGACTCGGGCACTAAACACACTGCTAATATTAAGATATTCATACTGGTGATCTGAGTTTAGGCATATCATGTTTCGCATACTGTATGTGTTCTGTGAATTGGCCTTTAGGGCTATTTGCCCACTACTTTCCATTAGCACTAAATTATATTGGAAAATATAGAATGGTGGAATAATTCACTTTCTATTAGTTCATGTCTAATCTTTTACTATATTTGGAACACAGAAAAGCAACAGAGAAAGAAATTAAAAAAGAAGAACAAAGTAGGCACGTCTGCATGTTGTGATATGAATTACATTAAACGTCTTAATCTTAACAACTGCACACAATACAAAGCAAAGACTGTAAGAAGGCAAATCTTTCCCCCAGATATTTAGGTAAGCAATTGCAAAGTAATCCAGGCACAGCACCATCCATAAAACCAGTTCATCACCAGGTCATACAAGGCAATTAGGCCCGGACACTTCACGTAGAGGAGAGCAGATTAACAACTGTCACCTGAAAAGGTGTTTTAAGTGATCCTGTTTTATTTTTAACAATATTTTAAAGCCTTTGAGAAGATTAATCCCTCAGAACAGGAGCTGAGTACGTTGCTGCTGCTGAGGTAAACTGATGTACTAGATGAGTCCTCAGCCCAGAATAGTCTCTGTAAGACTTTGAAGCGATATTGTTTTATTACTACTATTGTCATTAAACAAACAACACCACTGTCCTTTCCCCTGAAAGTCTAATTTCTTTGCAACAAGATGGAAAAGTTCCTACAACTTTCTCTCTCCCTCTCTTTCTCTCTCTCATGCTGTCAGGCACAAAACATGCCACAGACAACATCCATAGATGCAAGACCTATTTATGCACATTCTTCAATAGCAAAATCCTTTTTTTTCATAAGGAAGACTATGTAAAATCTTCTTCATCGTTTGAGGCCATTGCCTATTCAGTACTGCCACTGGCGAGCAAGGGATTTTTTTAACACAGAGGTAGGGGAGCAGTTGATAACATATAAGAATGTATCTATGAAAAGATACCAGATGAGAAGATCTCAATATTTAAAACAAAAACCAGATGCACTGGAAATAAACAATGAAAGATCCAGTGCAAGGTTTTGAGACAGATATTTGAAAGTCTCACTGTTAAGAGGAAGTTCTTAGGTAGGACCTGTTGCGCTAGATCAGACCAGGAAGCTGGACAAGTATAGAGTGATTCTTCCTCTCTTTTAATTTCCCAGCTTCTGGCAATCCAAAGCTTACCATCTTCCTAAATCACAGGTTGCATCTGGAGCACTCTATTTTATAGTCCTGTTGGACCAATTTTTCATGATTTTTCCTGGCTCCTTTTTATTTTCACTACTTTTTTGGCTTCCACATCCTCATTTTTCACTGAATTCTCGTAATTAATTTGTACACAGGGTGAAATGTATTCCCTTTGGTTTGAGTCAATATTGCTGCTCAGGAGATGCTGTGTCCATTTGAAAACCTAGTCCTGCCTGTGGGTTCTGAGTGCTGGGAGCCTCCAGCCCTGGAAACGGTGGTGTTGAAAGAGAAGTGAAGTAACAAACAGGAAGGATGGGTTTCAGGGGAGAATGAGAAAGTGGCAAGAGGAAGGGTAGATATGCAAATTAGGTTTCTGGATTATTGCCTTAGCATTTAAATGATGGTCACGCTTGTTTCTTGTACCATTAAGAGAGGATTCCTGGATTTTAACAGTCTCAGCAATTGCAATACATAAATCATAACTAAATAATTCATTCCTTAAAAGCATGCTGTTCTTCATCTGTTTTTCCAGCTCCTCCACATGCTACTCATATTTTATGCGGTCATTCTGGTTTTAAGTAACATATTCAACTCGCTCTACTTTTTGCAGGCAGGAAAGTCAGAGCCCTGCTGATGAATGTCACCAGTTCCCAAAATCCATCATTCCTCTATTAGCAGCCAGCAGGCCAGGAAGCACTAGGCTCCACATGGACCTTTCCTCCAGTCTCTGTGACAAGCTAACAGCGAGGTATTTAACCAGCATGGCTATTTTCTGCCTGGATGGCTAAAGTAAAACTGTTCCACCAGTAACATAAAAATGTTCTAGCAACACAGCAACAAACCACACAGCATGCCAAGGAGCTGTGGGTTCATTGCTGGGAGGTTACTTTTAATTACAAGGTCCTGATTAACACTGGAACAAGGCAATAGCTTACTTCAAACAGTTCCGAGTCATGGTACTTAAAAATGTTGATCTTTGTCATGAGCAAGGGCAACAAGTGACAAGGAGAAAAAGAGAACTGCTTCAGCTCTGAGTGGGTTTGAATTCCTATTACAGGACTTGTGGAAGCCCAGTAATTTATAAAAAACAGCTTTCAAACGATCTTTTCATAGTGTCATAACCAGCCAAACTGTCAGCTCTGTAATTCCCAAATTGATGGCATCACACAGGAACTTCATTTTAAACAAGGCTTTTGTACAAGATGAGCCTTTAATGGTTTTGCATTAATTTTATTCTGCTAATTTGTGCATTCTATCATTTCAGCATTATTATCGTTGTTAACAAAGTATTATTTGAGTTTGAATTTTGTTTATTTGATCTGACAACTGCCTGAAACATTTTAACTTGTGCAGTTTACCAGAGACTGTTATCTGCCTCTTAGGAACAGAATTCTGATTGTAGTCCAGTCTCTGCAACAGTATTACTGCAGGGACAGATCCTGGATTTATTTGAGCTTTTAACTTCAGTTCCTCTGTATGCAAGTGGAACATGAAAGTACCATAATTAAGAGCCAATACAAAGTGGAAGACAGCAAAAATAAGGAAGTACACTCCTCATCATGGAAATGGTTAAGCATGGTAAAAATGAATCCAAGAGCTTTTGTAGAGTGAGCTGTCTCCTTCACTAAGAAATAAAAGAATATTTAATGAAATCTATGGATTAAGCTCAGTAACTTCTTCAGTGTATCTGTCCTGCCTCAAGTGGGTAGTTAGGTGAGCTGTTAAATGTCTGAACTTTGACCATTGCAACAGACTTTTAGTTTTAACTGCCACATGTGTATAAAGGCTTCTTTATTTTCTCATCATAGGAAGTGTAGGACAGATGAAAGGGAAGAACTTTGGAATATGCAATCAATACTGGGAAGTTTAATCTGGAGCTACAGAATACAAGTAAGATAGATATCACTGGAATGATTAAATTGTGAAAATATCTACTCCTTAATTTCATCAGGAAAAAAAATGAAGAAAGCTGACCAAGACAAAAAATGAATTTCTTACTTCTTAAGTATAACAACATGCAGCTGATGTCCCTTATCCAAATCAAGGTCACTTTTAACTGGAGTGCCATAACCTAGTCCAGTCGGATGGTTTGGCTGAATGAAAGAAAGAGCTGCTGGCTTTATATGAGGCAGATGGTTCTTGCACATCAGATTAACTCTGACTTGATGCTACCTGTGGACACAGCAGTGGGAAAGATGACCCCGGAAAAGAAATGCTGCTTGCCAGGAGTGTATCAGGAGACGTCCCCAGTGTAGAAGCAAAGCCCTGCTACAGTGTCCTTAAACTGCCCTTGGATTTGTTTAATTTAACTGATCAAATGTAGTATGTTTTCTGGGAGCATAAAACATTTGCATAGCACAAATATCTAAGGCAGAATATAGAAAAGCCAGATATGACATTCTGTCTGTCTATGAAAAATCCAGGATGTGATCAGCCTTGCCTTGAAGGCAGTAGTGATGTTCCCATCGACTCCATTGACACCTCAGATCAGACACCTTCAAACTGACTCTCAGATATGGGGGAAAGATATAGCAGAGAGAGAGTGATCTCAGGCACAAGGGACGTGTACTGTCAGAGTGTTAATCTGTTTCATCTACTCCTGCCAGGAGCCACCAGGCAGCTTGGAGGAAGCTATAGGTGTTAGCAGGGACCAAATTTGCTCCTAGCTGGACCCAGGACTGATGCGCCGCTAACACTGTGTATAACAGAACTTTTGCTTGCTGTTCTTGTGAGCTGAGCACCCCTCATCTCTTCATCTGAATCCCAGATTCAATTATTTTGACAAAGTGTGCTAGAAAAGCTACGCTCATCTGTTAGAAAAGATAAAATAAGCACATAACACTAAATTACATTTGTCAAAAAAATATATGAACCAACCTTATTTGTGATGAACTTTCATGCATTTATCAGTTTCTGAATAGATTTTTAGGACATAAACTTGCAAGGGGCTGTGCATAAGGATCAACTCCTTGCAAGATCAGGGCCATAATCCACCAAACATCTGTCAATCATATGAGTAAATTTGTGCACTTTCACTATTCAATTCACTTTCTACTTCCCAAATGCAAAAATCTGAGCATCCTTATGAGACTATTTTAGCCTCAAGTTCTCTGATGTTTTCTTTAATGCCATGCAAAAAAATGATTCTCTGTTTAATTAGCGCCAGATGCTTTGACACTTCTATGTTTCTAAGGGAAGGAACAAAATCCTTCATTTAATCTTTTTTTTTTTCGTAACTCTTTTAGTAACTCTTTACCTTCTGAGTCTAATTTAACTAATCACCTAATAATGATTTCTCTGTAAGTCATAGGGACCACTATGCACACTACATCACGGCGCCTTGATAAAGCAGATCTGAGAATTTTAAAACATGGCTATACCTTCAATGAGAGGATGAAAGCTCAGCAGTTCTCTATTACATCACTTGTAATTTTGGACAGTTTCCATTTTCAGCCTATCCATTTCTCTCTCTAATAGTTATGTCTCTTCTCTTCATTTTCTTCTACAACTTTTCATTTATCTTGCCAAACATGGCCTTCACATGTAGCACTCTGTAAGGAGTAACCTCTTGCTGCCATCTTTGTAACAGTGCAGCATGGTCTGCATACCAAGCAAAACATACTTGGAATTACCATTTACAGCAGACCAATGAAAGGTATTTCAAGCATATGGAAAGACTTCAAGCATAAGATTATTAGGCTCAGTGACTAAGCTCTTCAATACAGTGTGTCTCCATTTATGAGACACGATATCAATCTATTTGGATTCAAAATATTTTCATTTTCCATTCTGACAAAATGTATTCAAAATTTATTCCCATTCAAAACCAAGGGTTGCTTTGGAACTTGTAGACAGAAGCAACATTGAGAAACTTTGCTGGTTTAAAGACAAAGTGTCCTTAAGGGAGATCTTGGACAAAGCTGAATTTTCAGAAAATTTCTGTTGTTTCTCATTAGCAAGAGGTATAAACTTTTTCAGTTTCCCACCAGGGAGACAAAGAAGGAAAAGAGAAAGGGGGAGGTTAAATGATGTAATATCTCAGACATATAATTCTTTTTAATGATATATGCATTTTGCTTTTTAACTCAGCACTCCTTGCCTGCAGTATAAATGCATATAGATTTAGGGCACTTTTTTTGTTCAACAGATTGGCTATTGAAATTTGCATTCCATTATCACTTGGAGCTGACTTAAACTGTGTATTAGATAACTCTTTTTACTACAGTAAGGCATACGTATTATTTATATCTGTTTGCATGGCTTCACATAATGACAGTTTTGAGAGCAAAGGTAAGCCGTGTTTTGTGTTCCTGTTGAACCACTATTGTATTTGACTGATATGAATTGAGGGCTCAGTCCTGCAAGCCATTTTCTTTCTCTTGAAGGTAATCCAATTAGTACCACTGAAATAACTCCTCCAGGACCACATGCTTTTATATATAATGACAGTACTTTGAGAACAACAATAAAAACTAACTCTCAGAACACCAAATAATACAAAGGACCATTTATCTCCTAGAGCACTGTAATAACTGAAATATGACATTTCGCGTGCATTAGCAAGGTTGAATAATTAGTGTATCCGGTACAGATCAATATTGCGTGATGAGAATAGAAAAAGTGGTGCTTATATTGAAGAAAGAGGGGATGGGTTGCCTGGACTATTAACTGACTCTTTAGTTCAGAGTAAGGAGTCTCTGAATATAAAATATATAAAAAGATATAAATATATTTATAAAAATATACTCTGAAGTACATTTTTATATCTTATAGTCAATTTGAAGGCAAGATTGGCTGACAGAAAGCTGGGAAACCTTGCCCCCAGTGAAGAGCAATCATTTGCCATAGAGAAAGAAGTAGATGACTGGAGATTGGCACAGCAGCTGTGCATAGTACAAGAAGGACGGTCATGCAATTTCAAGGATAAAGCAGGGATGCAGGAGGAGGAAAAAGTGATGCGACTGTCTTTATAAATATAGCAGGAAGGGTAAACACCAATGAGGCCCAAGGATATCACTTGCTGTAGGGTGTAATGATGTAATCCTTTTCCTCCCGGCTGGCAGTGGGCTGCAGTCCCCTTGAGTGACTGTCACCCCTGCTACTTGCCTTATATTTTAAGGGCTTTGTGCTCTTTGGAAGTTACAGACCAGCATTCAGAAACACAGAACACAATTGCTGTAGCGTAACATATTTTTCTGTATAGAACAAAAACTGTCTTTCAATTTTCTGCAAAAAAAGTCTAGGTTGTTTTAGTAAGTGCTGCCAGCTGATAAAGCTGTAGAAAGAGTGATAAACCTGTCACATCTAGAAATAAAACATCTGGATAAGCAGATTAGAAATTGTGATTTATCTTTTTGTTTCTTTAAATAATATTTTAATGGCTCAGGTTGTGCAATTTGGGCTATTAGCTTTACTCTGTGGAGATTTACAGGATCTTCTTTAGGCTTTGAATGCATGGCCTTATAAAGCTATAGGCCTGCATATGAGCAGATCTTCTGTGTGATGACCAAACAGTGTAAAGTACACACTAATTTCCTTGAAGATGGGGCTGCTTTTTCAGGTTGGAGAAGAGTGTTGAGCCTGCTCCTGCTAAGTTGACTCATTATACCACAATTCCCTTTCAAAAGCTGCTTCCACTCCGCAGAGCAGATGAAGATAAGTGCTACTGCACTGTACTGCCGCAGGAGCCCACACACAGCTGTAGACAGCCTCACTGAATTCTCATCTAGCTAGGACACTTGTTAAATTCCTCTGATTAGAAACTTCTATGGTTTTATTCAAGTTTGTCTCACAGACCTAGACTTTTGCCCTTCAGCTGGGACACATGTCCTTTTCTTTTCCTACCTGCTCAGTGCTATAGGTGTGATGGTCTTCTCCATCACGGCTGACAGGAAAAACTTGATGGTGTCAGTCTCCTAGAGTCTCAGTCTTCCCCTCAAAAACATTTGCTATTTATGTCTTTGACTTTTTCCCCCCTTTGAATAGACTACAGTGACACTATTTCATGAAATATAAAACTTCTGGATCACCTATCTGATGGTCAGCTATCGCATCACTGTTATTTTCTTCCAAAAAGTAGAAAACCCAAGATTTGAATTTGTTAACTGAGCAGGGAATAGATACAAAGAATGCACCCTGATTTTCCTACAATAACAACTTAAAGAGACTCAGAAAAAAACTAAATATTTCTGACGTAGCCACGTGAAATGTTTCTAATAAGCTTGAACCAATTTCCTTTATAGGTAAGTATTCTATCTGAAAATATTCACCCAACTCATTAACAGGCACCAAGTTTTTATCTAGATAGCAGACTTTTTTTTATAAACTCCTAGCAATGACTTCTACTTATGTCCTTGTAGGAATGTGGAAATGGAAGAGGCAGAGGCGAATACTATGGATAGCTGTCAAATTATATTGCTCCTTGTTTTCATGCGTTGGAATAAATAAGGATGAGTACATTTAGAAGATAGAAAATGCATAAGAAATAGGTGATGCTAACAGATAAGTGAACTGGAGATGTCATCCTCAAGCCTTACAGGACAACACGTAAATATTTGTATGAGCAGAGTGGAGAAACAAAATTATGTAATTAAATTTGACATTCTCCAACAAGATTTGTAGTCTATCTGAAAACAGATGACTCTCAATGTTATTTTCAGGAACGATATCGCAAACTGGAAGAATGGCGACAACTAACAATTAGCTACTCATGGTTCTGGTATGTCTGATTGCTCTTCATTCATTTGAGATTTGGTTATTAGCTGTACTAATTCACTGAAAGGCAAAAGACTTTGGAAGAGATTTACAAAGAAATCCTGGTACCCATCTCTCACTGAGAAGCTGGGCATCCAACTGCTATGCTGTGTTTTTAGAAATTATGTTCACAGATTTGCTTCCTCTAAGGGAAGGAAGGAGGAGGGTAAGGAAGAAACTAACATAGTTTTATCTTCCCTCATTAGCCTTACTTGCTCAAACAGTACTGTTTTTCCATCCAGAAATGTGGTCTGATGGGAAAAAGATGAATTTGACCATTTGTCCAGCATTTCTAGATGGCAGGCAACTCAGCCCAGCAGTGGCTGGAATGAGCTTACAAGACCCTCAGACATGCTGCTGCCATGCACGTGCACATCTTGCACAGAGAATGTGATACATTACGGACACATAGCAAGTCCCATGTTTTAGGGAGGCATAGGCCATCATATGTGTCGGAAGAAAACAAAATCCCTGCTGATGGGTTGAATCATATGCCTCCCCTAACCCTGTCCAGATCTCCATAATATCATATAGGAAGACTAGATCGGAGTATGACATATTTCCACACCACACAGTGCAGCTATGGCCTTTTGGCTCTCATCTTTCCCATTAGATCCGGATGTCTCTGTCACTGGCCTGGGTTCTAATGCTGGTCTACAGAGTCCAAAATGTCGCCTCCAGTTATGTGCTCTGCAAAAACATATTCTTATTCTGTGAGATGACGGTATGATGCTTTGTAATTACATGACAGTCAACAGCATTAAATAAAGTTGTACCTGCTTCTGAAAGGTAGTACCTGCATCTTTTCATCTTTTTTAAGATTGACTCCGAGAAGATCTTTGCCAAATTCTGATCTTGGCTACACATATTGTGCTCGCACTGATAATCTGTCAGTTGTCTCAATTTAACATTAGGCACTCTAGCTTCAGGTTTGTGTGATTCCCTTAGGTTTGCCATCAGAAGAGTCTTGTCTACATATCAGAAAAGACGGGTGTAATTTTATTCTCCATTGAAAGAAGGCAAGGATTCTGTCTGGGGCTTTCTGACAGTCAAGTAAAGATTATGACAGTCACATTTCACAAAAACAAACAAAAAGGTGGGGTTCAGTCTCTGCAGATCATGTTAGGGACTGTTATTGATACTACTTTGTTTCTTTGAATCAGAGAGAGGATTTTGGTGCTTAAATCTAGTTTAGGGTGTACCCACGGGATGTTACAGAACTGATCCTGAGGATTTTCAAAATCATCACCAAATGCAGTAGGAGTTTTTGTAGTCTGAGGACTAAGAGACTAATTTATGTTTTAGATTCGCTTCTGTTTCACCCCAGATTCACAAACTGCCACATTGATGTTTAGAGTTAGGAGGCTCTTGTGCAGCGGCTGCAGATACGTGTTGAACAGTGACACAGTCACTCCAATCCCTTAAGAAAATGTAAAACAATTTGCAACGGAGAGTAACCACCCTTACGATGTTTCTAACCATTTCTGATTAAGCACAGAACCAGAGCCTTCATCCATGAATGACACCAATAGAAGTAATTCTTAACAGCTTCATGTGATTCTTCTGCCTCCAGAAAACAACAGGGTAAATCTAGTACAAACAGGGAACATAAATGCTGCTGTCTGAGCCAAGCAGGGCTGGACTAGTCTCCAAGAAAACAACGTGTGTGAGCACAGCGCAAAGTGTTGCTGGAAAGAGATATTTGGGGGATAGAGCATGCAGGGCTCAGATAATATTGCCCATTTGACCACCTTGTCATGGGACAGGCAGTTTGCAGCACACAGTTATAAAAGAGCTTTTGATTCAGTCCTAGCATGTACACTGATACAACAGTCAGCAGTGTGACACTGCAACACCCCCGTTGTGACGTGAGACATTCTTATCACAAAAGGGGAAGAATCTAACCACGACGGCGCATACCCAAGAGCTACTCAGCCCTCTCCCTTTCCAAAGTGAATGCAACAATAAAGATATTACCCAGTAGCAAAGTTTATTTTAGGATACTTTAATTTGAGGTAGGAGCAAAGAAACTGATCCCGGAGCTCTTATCTGCGAGATCAGCCACAGATGAAAGAG